ACTCCTCATTCTTTACATTTTCAGCTTTAAATGTCACCTCCTCTGGGAAGCTGTCCTCACTTGCATCCGGGTCAGGCCCGCCCAGTGTTCACTGTCACAGCCCCTGTGCTTCTCCTTTGGCAGACTTATCATACCTGGAAGTTAGCTAGCTCATCGTGTGACTATTTGTGGAGTACTTGTCTTCCCGTCTCCTCTGCGATACTGTAAGGTCCAAGACAGCAGGGACCGCGTCTTTCTTTTCTCTAGCCCCTAGCGTAGTGTCGGGCAAATATTAAGTGCTCAATAAATGTTTTCTGTGAAAAGACTGTCTAGTAAATTTGCTCACTGAACCTTAGCAGGCAAAATCTGAAGAAACCTTGGGTCCCCTTGGAGCAGCTTCCGGGGCAGCGTTCTGAGCTGACTCACTTGTCCTGCTGTCCCGGCCCAGGGCCTTGATGGTGCTCACTTGTTATTTTCATATAAAGAAGCAGCAAAGGGCTTTGGACTAGTTGCAAGAATTATTTTCCATGAATTATTTTTAGAAATCAGTTCCTTTTGACTGGGGGGAAGGGGATAGGAAGGAGATTGAGTGGGATTGGTGAAAAGAGGAAGGATGAATTTAATCTCTTCCTTGGTGCCCTTTTCCTGGGCAATAAAGTGTGATGAATGCTGAACAGCAAATGTAATAAATGTCTCAATATCTTGGCTGGGAGCTAGTCTAATTAGAAGCCATATGGCCTCTTCAGCTCAGTGGCTGTGAATTTATTTGGGTTTCATCCAGGTGAGTAGCAAGAACAGTTAAGCAGTCAACAGATTTTCCTGTGCCCTGAATCTCACAGTTTTAGATCCAAGGTCAACCCACTAGAAAATCTTCTCCCTTAAACACTCTATTTCCTCTCCTTCAAAAAAGTGGGGAAATCATGACTCTGCAAGAAAATTTTTGAGTTTAACTGGGAGTTTTCAGTCCACTGCTTGCAGCTTGGAAAAAAAATTGAACTTATCTCTTGTATTTTTGGTTTGCTTTGCCAGAGTATTTAGAGATAACAGGTTCCCATTTATGCTCATTTCTATACCTTCTTCCTTCCTTTTCTTTTTTCTTCATTTTTCTCTTTCTTTTCCTTCCTTCCTTCCTTCCTTCCTTCCGTCCTTCCTTTCCCTCCCTCCCTCCCTTCCTTCCCTCCTTCCTTCCTTCCTTTCCCTCCCTCCCTCCCTCCCTCCCTCCTTCCTTCCGTCCTTCCTTCCTTCCTTCCTTCCTCTCTTTCTTTCTCTCTCTCTCTCTCTCTCTCACACACACACACACACACACACACACACACACAGGGTCCCAGGGAATGGTGTTCTATCTCAAGATGTTCTGTAAAGCCCTCTTGACTGGTAGAATTCTGACTGCATTGTGGCCTTTATCTAACAGAGCAGTATAAGGTCTAAATGAGCTTGTTTTAAATATAACACTCAAAATTTCACAAAGTGGAAATTCTAATTTGTGAACATTTGAAAGGAAGGGAAATAACCTGGTATCCGTCACCTTTATCTTTCAAGCTTCAAATTTTCCAAGACAAAAAAGGGGGTATGGACAATCCCCCAAGACACTGTCTCTCTTCTGTTTGCTCCTAATTGATTCATAAGAATAATAGAATTCCCCTGTGTTCCTAGAATGCCACTGGGATTATATTTTTATTCTGAGAAAGAGATGGGAATCAGTTTACAAGTTCTAAAATTACCAGGGAATATTGAAGATGCCACTGTTTTGAACTTCTCTTTATTTCTTAAGGGTAGAAGTTAGATTACATTCTTTCACATACTTGAAAGAGACACAATAACCCAAGCAAATCTCTCCTCTCTACTAGCAAATCCCACCCTGTACCACTACTCTTGAACAGAAACTGTGTTTCTGTGGCTTGCAGCAACTCTGTGTATAATTATTGCTAGCCATACTGGCATAACAATGGCTTTAGAGATAACTCCTATAGCTCACTACCCCAATTTAATTGCTTAGGGGACATGAAGATCCATGCCAGACATGGTGTCACACATTATGAATGTGTCCAGTGGGCTCTGATCCTGGAAGTATTGGGTGATGGAGGGGCAACAAGGTTTGAAATGTGTAGTCAGAATTGGTCTGTGGAAAAATTTCTTCCAAATTTACATCTTATATATGAAATAAACTAGATAGGAGTTTTCTGAAATCTGATAACAATCCCTAAAAAGTTAGGCAACATTATCAATAATGAGTTGTAAGATTGAAACTTTTCTAATCTACCAGTAATAAACAACAAATTTTGAAGAAACATGCTAGAGGAAGGACAGTAATTTTTCTATTCTCCCTAAGGAAGTGATATTAATGAAATTATTATTAAGTGAAGAGGCAATCAAAGAATACGCACCCAGAAAGCACAGGGGGAAAGTATCATAAAGGTGTGTCAGGCAGTTAATTAGACTGTTGCTGTTTTTCAAATTTTATGATATTTAAGACATTTATCAGTTTTTAAGCTTTGCAATTTTTTTGTAATTTCTTTTTTTCATTATAAATAAGTATTCACTTTCAGATCTAATTTTGTATTTGTAATTTGATATTCTTTATCCCTAAAAGGACTGTCCAAATTGTGTAAGCTTCTGGCCCTTGAAAACCTTGATTAACTCTGCATAGGAGCTTTTAAATATTTAGGAATAGGACAGAGTTTTTCCTTTTGGTTAAGCCTAACAGTAACACAGTCGAATGGGTTCGTGACTTACTAAGTCTGGAATCTGACCTCTGCAATGGAATTGGTAGCTCTGGGGTGTCAGAACTGAGAACAGTGAACGGCATGTAGATTTATCACCAACAACTCTGCAGGAAGGAAATCTGGGTGGAATTTGGCACTGAGTATGAATTTCTGTTCCAGAAAAGAAATCTTCTGCAAAGAAGGTCTGCTGAAATGCCCTGGTGGAGCTCTTATCTAATTTAAAAAGGAAAGACTTTGAGGCTTTTCAGAAAAGTGTGGAACACTGGATTTGAGGTATCTAGGTTCAGTTCACCTAGACTTGGTTCCCGCACTATAAAGGAAAAGTTAAGATAAGCTTGACACAGTGGATGCCGATGACAGTACTCTCCTATCTAACTGCCCCTTCCTATCCTCTGTCAGTGACTGGACTGAGTTGATGGATATTATGGGAGATCCTATGAACAATGGGCCCAGCGACCCCTGACATGATCTAATAACAGTTTATCTCCCTCAAAAGAGCAGATGAGATGAATGCACTGGGCTCATCATTCTCACTTTCTTTTTTTGCTCTACGCGGGCCTCTCACTGCTGCGGCCTCTCCCGTTGCGGAGCACAGGCTCCGGACGCGCAGGCTCAGCGGCCATGGCTCACGGGCCCAGCTGCTCCACGGCATGTGGGATCTTCCTGGACCGGGGCACGAACCCGTGTCCCCTTCATTGGCAGGCGGACTCTCAACCACTGCGCCACCAGGGAAGCCCCCGGGCTCATCATTCTTAAGCAATTTATGCCGAAGTCACTGACTCTTCCCTGAAGAAGAGTTTATATGTGTGTATCTCTGTTTAACCCATTTACAAGTAATACAGCTTGCTTGCTGTTTTTGGTGTGTATGCCCTGTTAGAAGATTTGTCATCTTATATCCCAAATGAAGCAAAAGAAAGTTGTAATTGTGTTTCACGATGGGCCTACAATTTGGCTCCAGGGGCAGTAGTACAAAATGGTGAGAACAAACCCCCTGTTTGCCAGACTGGCCACCCAGTGGTCCCCATGGGAAGGAATCACAGCTTGCAGGAAAATCCCTTCTGTCCTCTCTGATCTCCCAATCCTAAAATGGTCTGAGACTAAGTACAGTTCACATGATTGAAGACTCCTTTCTTTAAGCTGGACTCGGGGTGGGTAATAACTGGATATTACTTAGCACATTTGATAGGGAATTTGAAAGTATCTGGAAGCCTTTAAACAGTCTCTCCTCTGTCTGATGTCCTGGAATTTCTGCTTCATTGTGATCAAAGGAATCAGAGTATAGTACACAGAAGTGCACCATGCCTGATTCCCGCAGTTCTGACAGCAGCGGGTCACAGTCTGAATTGTTTATTTGGCTGCCCAGGCTTCTTTGTGACTTAGCGATGAAGTCTATTACCCAGAATAATGATGCATTCTGCAGGAGAAAATGACGGTAGGATTATGGCTGCAAGACAGAAAGGATGATGGCAGGTTTGACTCCAGTTTGTTTAAACAAAGGCATTTCCCAGAGAATATGAAGTATTCCTGATGATGTGAATTCTGTGAGATTGTTGTCTTTCTTTACATTTTTTGGTTATCATTGCTGGGTCTAGTGAACTTGAAGAATCGAGTAATCTATCACAGCCATGCATACACATTGACAGGCACGTGCAGGTGGTTTAACAAAGCAAACAGTCCCGTTTATATCAGACAGTATTCTTGAGGCTGGTTTGAGGCTAGCTCTGAATGTGTGGTTTTGGAAGGAAGCTGCGTTTCTGGGGAAGAAAGACTACCCTCCCCCAGTTTTACCCAAAACTCATTATCAAGTAATCAAAAGGAAGAAAAGTCAAGGGTTGTCGACTTCTCTTGATGTCCATTCCCTTCTATCTGAATAGAGATCCTAAAGTAACAGGCTGACATGCTTCTCCTGGGAGAAATTTCTGCCTTGGTTCTCCTACCTCCTACCCCTGGGCACTCCCACCCAAACCTCCCTGAACCCACAGTTCACTCTTTCGTAATGAGACTGTGAATTGTGCTAGCTTTGCCTTGTGATCATAAGCTCAGATGTGAGTTCATCTGATTTTGCGTATTTCATGACTTCCTTCTGACAGTGTTAGGTTCTGCTTTTCTCTGTGGCTGGTAAAGGTAACTGTCCTTTCACCCTCTCCAAAAGAGGTACCAAAGGTAAAAGTCTACGGCACTCCCCCCATTTGGTGGTTGTATCTCTCTCTCACTTTAGCGATAGCCATCGCCACGGGGCCTGGTGCTTGGCCAGGCCTATGAAGAGACACCCCCTACTCTGTTCTCAGCTTGCTGTACCTTTTTCTATGTCAGTCTTGATCTGCTCCTCAAGATCCTCTGGGGACACATAGAAGTCCTCTTCTGGCATCGATGACTTAGGCCGGCAGCGTCCACAGCAGCAGTTGCAACAGCAGCAGAGGCAGCAGCAGAAATAGCAGCCGGTCAAGAGGCCAATGATGACAAACAAAGTCTAGGGGAACCAGAGGCAAAGCAAAACAGGGGTGAGGGGTAGTGGGGTGTAGGAGACCCCAGAAATCAAGTGTGGACCCATGTACCTCCAGAGACCTGAAGGCATCACAGTTCACCCCAGACACCACATATTCACCCTCATCCTTATTCCATGGAGGACTATCTTTTTAGTTTCCTTGGAAACAAATGCCTCACAGAGTTTCGCCTAACAAGTTAGGCCAGGAACAAGTGACTTGCAGCCAAATAATGAAGTATGACATTTTCTTCTTTATTCTTAAGCCATGGTGATCATTATTAAGAGCAGAGCAAACAAACAAACCAACAAACATAACCTCTACAGGTCACATGGGCTAACCAAGGGCATGGAATCATTCTCACCAAGAAGAGCTAGGGATAGCCAGTCCTGACACCACCGCATTCCTCTCAGTCACCACGTCCTGCAGTCTCTCTCCTCACCATCTCTGCCCCCTCCCCATTGCCTCTCTCTTGATTGGTAGGGCTTTAGAATGGATCCCCTTATCTCTGCTCTGGACACTTCAGTAGCCTCCTAACTGACCTACCTGCTTCCCCTCTTGCCTCTAGCCCACTCTGCACATTGCTGCTGGAGGTTTCTGACATGTTCTCTTGAACCCATGCAGCGACTCTCCTGCCTCTTAGAAAAGGCTGGAGCTCCTTATTAATGGTCATCTGGCCTCTTCCAGTGCCTTCCCTGCACCAGCATGGCCCTGTTCCTGCCATCCTTGCAGAGCTTTGCTCTCCCTATGGAACCATCTGCCTAGACACCCACTGTCCCATTCCCTAGTCATCTAGAAAATACCCACTCCGTGTTTAAGATTATCTCAGAGATCCTCTGTCTGACATCTTTCCTGATTCCCATGTCCTCCAGAACAATTACTCCCTCCTTTGTGCCCCAACTGCATGCCATACAAATGTCCACTATAGTCTTATTTTGTTGACACTTTAAGACAGTGATGAGTTTATAATTCTGTCTCAGACTGTGAACTTCTTCAAGGCTAAACTATATGTTAGTTGTCTTTAAATCCCTCCTCTACCTAAGGATTTAGTACCTGGAGTGTGGTAGACAGGAAGTGCCTACTGAATTAATGAAGGTATTAATTGATTAGTAGATAAACAAATGATTTGTTCCTCCTAGTGAACAGCACCAGGATTTCCCCACGAGCATATAAAAGGTTTCCTCACTAAGTTTGCCATAGCTAAAAGATTAAACTCTCCCAATCCAATTTGAAGTGAAAACAATCCCATTTTTGTTAACTGTGCAAAATACGTTTATGATTTTATTGAAAGTATGTTAGTTGAAATAGAAAGTGATTTTATACACCCTCACACCTATAATCTTTTTGCTATGGATTCTCTACATCTTCAGAGTCATACATTTCTTAAATTACTCTGAAAAGTATAAAAACACTTCCTCCTCACCAACTGCCTCTAAGACCCTCCTGTGCAGTGTTCCTGAGCCAGTGCCCCAACAAGCACCCCCTTTTTTTTTTTACCTACTTTTGACCTTTTTTGCTTTCACTATTCCATTCCCATATTTTTTCTCCTCTCTGAAAATTTCCTTTGATACATGTATTGTTTTGTTCTTTAGTTATTCCAACTAGATTATTTGCCTGTTGCAGAAATAACCTTGCCTTATCCTTGCAGTGCTTAGTGCAGTACAAGGCATAAGTATGTGTCCATTGTTTTTAAAATATTTTCAAATTGGTACATGATTCATACATGTAATGCATGCTTAATACATTGTCACTATGTGCCAGGCCACTCTAAAGGGCACTGGGCAGTTAGCCTTTGGCACAAGCAGAAGGGGAAGGTAGATTTCTTTGTAGCCTTATTTTTAAAGAGCCACATCAGGAATTATTTTATGTATATCTCTTACACTACTGAACAGCTTCTGCTTGTCTGTATGAATTTTGATCAATTTTGTCAGCTTCCTGGGCAAGGAAATCTATTCTCCTTTTTATGCAGGTAGGCCCCAATATGCAGTCAGGTGCTAGTGTGTAAATTATCTAGAACTCCACATGTACCTTCCCATGGAAATAGTGTCATACCTGGGGGTTAGTTTCCCACAGAAGTCTGTATTTTACATAAACATTCAAACTATCATCATAAATGACATTGACAATATGTACACTCTCATTCTAAGTTCCACATCCTCTAGGCAGAAACTTGTCTCCCTCCCAAGTCTTGAGTGATTAAAAAAAGGAGGTTTCAGTGGGATTCCCAGTTATCCCCAAGAAAAGGAATTCTGAGGACTGCAGAAGGCAAATGAGGCTTTAGGCTGCAGACTCTCTCTCCCCATGCCTATGAACAAAAACATATTCTCTCTCGTCCTGCGTATATAAAACTATTCAATTTAGCAAGATTTATTTTAGCGGAAGAAAGTAGCAGAGTACTACTGAACATGCCATCTGCCTCTGGAGATCTGCTGTTTCTTTATTAATTACAACTCATATGAATGTGAGTTCATCTGATTTCACAAAATGTGTGAACTGTGAACTTACTACATGTATGTGAACTGTCCAAAAAAGATGCAGATGGACCATATGTATGATTTATATGTAAATATACTTTTATCAGAAGATAAGGATATTAATAGTCATAAACAAATATAAAACTATCACCAAGCATGCATATACTAGGGATTCTTAGGAAATCCCACAAAATTTACTGTCAAAAGTCAATTCCGGTCGCACTAAGTCCTTAAAAATCTTGCCTTTTTCTTGACTAGATATCCTTTTTCTCTCTCTCTCTTCCTCTCTCTCGCCAACTCAGTGTGCTGCCCTATTTAATTCTTACCTTTTTCCCCTCATTTCCTTCTCCACTACTTCCCAGCAGGCTCCATGTGAACCTATGACCTAATTACCATGTATTCTCTGCAGTACTGTGTTTGCTGATGTAGCCTATGCTATAGATAGGAAAGTACATGGCTAAATTTGTCCCATAATAATTTTTAAACAGTTGTCACACTAATAAATTATTTTAGGTTTTCAGCAATGAGTCAGTTCTTAATTTGTCATTATGGGGGTAGGGAGGGCAGTCAGAATTAACCTGAAGCTTCAAATTCAAATCTAATTAATGTCTAGAAGTATTTTAAGCCATGCTGCATTTTATAATTACTTGGTGAGCTAAAGCAAAAACGATCCTTAAATAACAGCTCCTTTTGTCTGTAAGAGTTTAGTAATATAGCAAGGTTAGACTTTCTTTGAGATGGAGTCTAAAAGAGTGAATAATATCATGATCTTCTAAGAAATTGTTTTCAAGAGAAGCAAAGAATCCAATTCACCTTTGCCCACCAGCTTGACAGCATGAAGTAGGTATTAACATTTTCCTCTCCAAATTGCTCGGCCACATAGAGTCCCAGTGATCCGTACTTGTCGTATATGTTTCTTTTTGACGTGTCAGTTAATATTGTGTGGGCGTTGTTGATTTCTTTAAACCTCTCAGCAGCACCTGCATCATCTGGATTCTTGTCTGGATGGTGTTTCAAGGCCAATTTTCTTTTAAAATTTAAAAAAAAAAGTGAGGAAAAGTGTTACTTGACAGGTATTACAACGACATTTTAGAAGGGCATTATTCATTTGTACATCTTTTATACATGTAAATACCATGAAATGTTACATTTCATCATAATGTTGATTCAACTAAGCAAGTTTCCATTAAATGTTGCCTCGTGTTTCTAATGTGCAGGCACCACAGTATTGTTTCTCCCCTCATATCCTCAAAGGAATTCTCAATAGCTGCATAGCTGTTGAGTCTTAGACATTTTGCCATTGGCAAATATGTGAAGTTTATTTTTACCTGGAAGCTCATCAGTAGCCCACCTCAACATGCAGAGGCCTTTAAGAGTTCCAGCAATAGGACCAGTTTATACCACAATTTCATCTAGAACTGGAAGACTTTTCCAGAATTAACAAAACTTCACACCACATATTCTAAAAGTTAAAACTCAACTGTCAAAAAAAAAAATCTCTGATTTATACACCCTTGAATAAATATTATGACCCTTTCACAATTTTTTTTACAAATCCTAACTCCCTTTTGTTTTTATGGACAAATACCATGACTTACCTTGTATTCAAATGTGTATTTGACCTCTTTTCAAATAGGTCTTCCCATTTCAAATAATCTGTAGAAATTTACTTGTGAGTACAAGGCCCTCTCTCCTCTGTGGATCATAAAGTAATTCCATAAGGCTATGACTGTGTGTTGTGTTGCATTGTGTGTGTATTGGGGGCAGAGGGGTGATTTGTGAGTGTTCTTTATTCTTCAGTTATAATCAAGTATTAAAAATGTAAAATGGGGCTTCCCTGGTGGCGCAGTGGTTGAGAGTCCGCCTGCCGATGCAGGGGACATGGGTTCGTGCCCCGGTCCGGGAAGATCCCGCATGCCACGGAGCGGCCGGGCCCGTGAGCCATGGCCGCTGAGCCTGCGCGTCCGGAGCCTGTGCTCCGCAACGGGAGAGGCCACAACAGTGAGAGGCCTGTGAACCGCAAAAACAAACAAACAAACAAAAAAAACTTTTATAATGTTTACTACATGCCAGGACTATTGTAAGCCTGTTATAAATATTAATTCATTAATCTTCACTGCAGCTCTATGAGACTGGTATTATAATAATCCCGTTTTACAGTTAGGAAATTTAGCCACTGAGAGGTTAAGTAATTTGTCCAACATCATACAGCTAATAATTAGAACCAGGCTTTGAACACAGGCAATCTGACCCTGAGCATTATGCTGCCTCCTACATATTTTTGAATTAGAAAAGTAAGACATTGCAAGGACTTTGGCTTTTGGTCTAGGTGATGTGGGAAGCTCCTGGAGTGTTTTGAGAAGAAAAGTGGTATGATCTGATTTTAGTTTAGAAGGATCACTCAGTCTTGGAGAGGACAAAGGCAAAAGCAGGAGACTCTTTTAGGGGAAGTTCATGGTGGTTTGGACCAGTGTGGTAGTGGATGATTAGTTGGAAGTGGTTGGATTCTGGTACACTTTGAGGGCTAGCTGATGGATTGATTGTGGGATGTGAAAGAAAAAGAGGAATGAGGGGTGGCACCGAAGTTTTGGCTTGAGCAACTGGAATTTTAGAGTTACTATTTAAAGAGTTGGCAAGAGATTTTTTTTTTGGTAGTAGGAAATGATTTGCTAGGATTCACAGTTCTATTTTGAACACCTGTGAGATGCATATGAGACTTACAAGTGTGACAGAGGTAGAGAGATATATGAGCCTGAGTTCAAATGAGAGTTACTCTGGGAGATGTACATTTGGGAGTTCTCAGCAGGTAGATGGTATTTAGAGCCATGGAACTGGAAAAGATTCCCAAGTGAGTTAGATCCAACATAAGTCCAAGGGCTGAGCTTTGGGAAGGAAGAACTACAGAGGAGATGAAGAAAGAAAGACCAGTGATGCAGAAGGAAAAATCCGGAGAATATGGGGTGATGGGATCCAAGTGAACAAAGTATTTCAAGGAAGAGGGTGGTCACCTGTGTCAAGTACTATTGACAGGTCATGTACAATGACAACTAAGAAGTGATCACTGGGTTTAGTGTTACAGAAATCTTTGGTGACCTTGACACGTGCACACACATACACACATAACACGTCTACACATGCATATATGCACATACACACACAGACAATTGTATATATGTCTTTATATAGGGAAAATAAAGCATAACAATAAGTAGAAATAAAGAGAAAAATGAAAGGTTATAACCATGCTTAACTGTGATTATAGCTGAGATTATAGGTGATTCTTTGTTTATTCTTGTTATAAAAAAAATATACATACTACTTGTGCAGTTTCCTTCCCTAAGTATTTTTAAGCTCCAGTTAAAAATTTTGTGCTCCTTTAATAACTGAAAGTTTAGAGTTTGTTCCCTTAAATGACCCACTACCAAATTAGAGGGGGGGAGGAAGGAAGAAAGAAGTCCTCAAACTTTAATAATACAACAATCATTATCAGAAAGTCTCAAGTGGATTCTTTAAGCACATTAATTTTAATGGCTCAATATTCCTGGAATTCTCACTCTGTGCCCTGGAATACAATTGCAGCATTTTCCCCTACCAGTTCCAGAGATCATGTCCAGGCCAACCAAATGCAGAGGCTCTTACTTCTGCCCTGAAAGAAAAAAATCCCTGGAAAATGCCTCTTTACATATATTTCTGTATTTCTAGGGTTCAGTTGTAGACCGATGCACACACTACCCAAGACTTATCCGGAGAAACGTGTCATTTTAAGCTGCTTGGATCTTTGTCAGCTTTCAAGGGCAGACGCACTCAACTATTTATCACATTCCTCTAACAATGGAGCTGGCAAATTCAGAGGGCTGGAGCATCTCCATTTGTAACAAATCCAATTCCTGGTAATCAGCAGCACTCTGACTCCTCATGGCAGATGCTCTTGGCCCTGAGGAATCCTCAGGAAATGTGGCTAGCAGAGGCAGCTGCCAAAGTTACACAATTGCTCAAGGAGGTAGTTGATCGATGACTCACCCCCTTGGTGGTGTCTGTACGGCAGGAAAACACGTATGGAATTTAGGGTGAAAGGAGAGTTGCTTGGAGTACATTTAAATATAACATTGCCTATTCACTTTAAAGATCTTCCTTATAATTTCTCATTTTATACTTAAAAGTGATGCAATGTTCAACCAGAACATGAGCCTTTAATTCCAAATCTCTCTATACTCTTAGTCACTGTTAATCTGGTATGGCTATAACTAATATTAGAAATAGCATCAATACCTGTAATTTCCACTTCAAAATCCAATAACAGCCTTCAACTGAGTGGCAGATAGGATCAACATGGGTTTATAGTTGTAACTACCAAAGGCTCCTAAGATCTACCTATTTTGAGGCAGTGGAATAATTCTAAGAATTGTAATGCCTAATTCTCTTTCTCACACCATCTAACACTCAGGTGAGATCTACCTACTATTCTCTACCAGTCTGTGAATCACCTAAGACCCAGTTCTGACCATGTTGCCCCAGCTCAAGACCAAATCTATCTCCATGGGGTTGGAATGTCAGAGGAGACCTTCTTGTTTGGAAAGGCTGGCCCTGAACCTCAGGGAACTAAGTTCCATCATGACATAGCTGTATCTATAGCTGCCTTTCCCCACTCAACACATTTTTAGCTGCCTTCTCCAATTACCTTTTGTTGCTTCCTATTTCAAAGATTTCCCCATTGCTGTGTGACTTTCTGCTAAACTCCCTCAGCCACAAAGTTTATTGCCCCTCCTATGTCCCAGAAGAAAGCTACCTGCTACCTAAAATGAAAGAGTAGAAGAGGGAGGGTGAGGCACTGGTTTCTTCCTATATGCTAGAACCGTTAAAAGTGCCCTCATGGCAGAGGCAGAATCATCAACAGCAAAGGTAGCAAAAAAAAAAAAGAAAAAAATCTGAGCTCATATTAGATGTAGACTATTATTTCTAGGGAAAAAAACTGACTATAATGGGAAGAAGACTGGTGGTAGATAGGAAAATGAACTGCTATAAACCAGAGTTTTCAGGTGAAAACAAACCCTAGACTAGTAACCCTACGTGTTTGGCAAGTATTGCAACTATGGAACTTAATAGTATGTCTTCATAGTAGAAGTTCAGTGGAACTCTTGTGCCCTCTTGGACTCAGGCAACACCCAAGTGAAAGTATAAGAAACCAGTATATGAGTTCCAATGCACGTCTCCCTGACATTTGGTATTGACAGACATTTTAATGTTTGACGGTCTGGTAGCTTGTGTGTGTGCATGTGTGTGTGTGTGTGTGTGTGTGTGTGTGTGTGTGTGTGTATATCCCTTTGTGGTTTAATTTGTATTCTAATTACTAATGAGGCTGATATATATGTCATTTGGATATCCTCTATTTAAGTGTATGTTGGTCTTTCACCAGTTTTTAGTTTCATGTTTAAAATGAATCTGTAGGATTTAAAATATAGTATTCTATATATGAATTCTTTGTCAGTTTATGTATTGCATATGTATTCTCTGTTTCTAAGGCTTTTTTGTTGTTGTTAGTTTCCTTATGGAAGCTTTTGGAGAACAGAAATTCTTTTTTTAACTGTTTTTTTTAATTTATTGGAATATAGTTGATTTACAAAGTTGTGTTAGTTTCAGGTGTACAGCAAAGTGATTCAGTTATACGTATACATATATTCATTGTTTTTCAGATTATTTTCTCATATAGGTTATCACAGAATACTGAGTAGAATTCCTTGTGCTATACAATAGGTCCTTGCTGGTTATCTACCTTATATGCAGTAGTGTGTGTATGTTAATCACAAGCTCCTGATTTATCCCTCCCCCCTATGTTTCCCCTTTGGTAACCACAAGTTTGTTTTCAATATTGGTAGGTCTGTTTCTGTTTTGTAAATAAGTTCATTTGTATCATTTTTTAAATTAGATTCCACATATGAGTGATACCTTATATTTGTCTTTTTCTGTCTGACTTCACTTAGCATGATAATCTCAAGGTCCATCCATGTTGCTGCAAATGGTATTCTTTCT